CCTTAAACTCCCGGACCCGAGACAATATAGAAAAGTTACTTTTTACATTTACCCGTTCGGGGATCGAATCCGAGACCTCACAGATGACAACACTCGACCACGTAGGTCGTAAATCGCTATATGGCCATATTTGTCTTGTTTTCATAAGATTTTTCGTACAATGTCGTGTGCTGATGTCAACTTATTTCTATCGTGCTCGTGCTATTCGAAGAAAACTAAAAACTGTCTGCGATCGGCATTCGCCATTTCTTGTCGAAAATTATCTACTGTGCCATCGTCTCTCTGTCACGAGAATTGAGCCCCATATTTCAGAATATGTAATTTTGTAAGTGAGAGGTAAAGAACCTTGCCAAATGGTAATTTTTACTACAGAGCGTTTCAAAAAGAATGAGGCATTTAATTAGGCATTTAAAATCAATATTAGGGTGAAATAAAGTTTATGTTAAATGAAAAACAAACGACTATAGGATCTTTTCCATTGCGTGATTTTTAGCACTTCAAAGCAATGTTTGTGATGACTTAGGGTTCTTTACTTCTCACCTGCAGAATTTATCTATATATTATTATGTACGTATTTGTCAAATACTTCTTTATTCAATTTAATATCTATTTGATCAGCACATTAAAAGTAAGAGATAATTAATGTTGTTCTCTATTTTTTGTTTGCATGTCTAGAAATAATTGATTAATAATAATTAATAAACGGTAAACCGAAGGTCTGCCGAAGTTTCTATTACAGCTTCACATTGTATTTAAAAATAACAAGGTTTTTAGTTATTTAACCGCTCACGCAATTTCTTATTAAAATTTATTTCTTTTTCATTTATTCTGTAAAAGTGGAATGGAATAATTTTATCCCAAGTGTAGGAATAATTGTCACTTCTGAGCTTGGAAAATACTTGGAGAGATAAAGAAACGGGGCTTTAACAAATTCAAATTAAGTTTTTTTCTTTTTCAAGATCATCTGCCGGAACTTAGCTGTGTGGCAAAAAGAGCAAGTTTTCTCATTACTCCATGGGGTATTTGTGTAAAAAGGAGGCGGACGATCACCCGTCGCTCCTCACAACTTTATAATTGCCTTGACGCTGCTAATGGAAAGTTGATGAAAGCTGTCTCCTGCCGTCTACCGCTTTTTGTTTTACGCTTTAAACTTACGTCTTAGTTCTAACTGCAATATTATAACTTAACATCTTGTTTAATGCTGACAGAAAAGTTAGTTCTTTGAAAACCCCAAATAGGATGTGCCAAGTTTTTATTATTATAAAGAAAATTCTAAGACTTTAATAGTACTTCCTACGTTGTAGACAATATTCTGTAAAATATGACTTGTTATTCACATCTTACAATTTTACAGAAAATTTTACTTTTCAATATAAAAGTAAACTATGACGAAAGGGATATAAAACGATGCTTTTTATAAAATAGAACTTAATTACATATGCCGACGGCACGGCACAAACTAGAGGCGACAACGTGAAATATAACCCAGTTGGCGTACGTACAATCCTATAGTTTCGCAAATCAGTCATCATTTATATGCTAAAGTAATTTAGGCTATGTTTGTCATTTGCCACTTACCCATGGTATCCTGACGCATGCCGACGGCACTCATATTGGCGCTGTGGCCCATAGAGAAGCCCTGCGGCATGGGGTATGAGCCACCGCCCATTTGCGACAACGAGAAGATATCCTTTTGGAGTTCCTCATAGCTTCCGTGATGCTGTGTAAGAGAGAGAGTGACATTTTGAATAATATTTATCTATAATAGATATGTATACTACTGAAGTTTATACGAAATATTAATAACAGTTTTCTTTTATCTGTTCGCTGAGAAGTGTGAATGTTTTATAAAATCTAGAAGCATAGCAATTTTTCTCTGGTTCTCCCGACTCGCTAGTACAGAACACTTCAGTCCAGCTTTGCTGTAAAAATAATTAGTATCTAACTACTTGGATTCTCCACAGGGAATCTTACTTCTAATGTATTACATACTAAATGTACCAGACAATTACACTATACTAAAAATAATCTAGGATAGTGTTCCCTGGGACAGTTGATAAAAATCTATACAATATAACCTTGTAACGACGTGTACTAATTTACGTATTTCATATTTCATAAACTATTTTTTATAAACCTCGTCTTTGTTTAAGTAAACAAAGTACATTAAAGTAAAAATAAAATGATATATATAATAAAATAAAAATATATATGTTTTTATTATTTACTATATATATTTTACACGAATAATTGTAAGAAATGGGCAGAAAAACCATTTTTTTCAAAAATTCGTTATGTTTTACGACAATGTGCAAAGGTTACTTCATTACTCTGCATTTGCTAGAGGTATATCGATAAAAAGTTTTTTTATAATTTAATGAATACAGGTTATACTTCGGGTATTAATTCTTAAAGTATAAATTTAAATTATAGGCAATAAATTAACATGTCAGTGTCGTTACTTTTTTTAAAACTTATAAATTCATGATAGAATAAATGGTTTTCGAAATTTTCTAAAATATCTATTGAAATTGCAATTGAATTATAGTAGTGTATTTTATGCCTTCAATATTATATAAAACATTTCATAGATATACGTGTATATCGTTCAGAATGTCTTGGTATTATAAAATAAATAAAACTATAAAAAATAACTTTTGCTTCAAAACTCAAATACACTAAAAATACATCAAATGAAGTGTGTCAGGGGTCATCCTAGTTTACGTTTAGTATAATTACCTGATATTAAGTTAGCAAATTTAGTAATTTAGCAAATATCGATTTGTAAACTATTTTATTCAGAAATTTAACTTCGATCCTTTACATGAAGGGCCCATAGTGCTTATCGCTAGGCCACAGAGATCACCTTTGATTGGGTAATTAAGTGATAAGAACATGTCTTAGACTACTGTAACATTGCCATTTATACCTAATAAATGTAACATGTTTATATATGTAATAAAATAATATACGACTTCAATAATAATTTTTGAATTATTAAAATGCTTCTTTCTCCCATTAACTGTGCCCGACAGGGTCCATAAATGCTCACTGTATAATATTTTGTAACACATAATGTTAACAATACATTATGGAAAAGCAATAAAGTGTTGAGTACCTCGATAAATGTCGATACTGGTCACTTGAATATGCGTTTTGTATTCAAATTGAAACTCAAAACTAAAATAATCTTTATTCCATAGGTAAGCAAATTACACTTCGTCATGCTGATTACATTCTACTCCTCATTCGTAAGATAGATTTCCCTGAGAAGAATGAACACGAAACTCTAGCTCTCTTTATTCTTGTTTTTAAAAAATACCTGCGTTTGATTATATTTATCATTTACAATATTTTTTTCTAACGTCTTAGATCGAGACTACCTGCAAGGGTTAAACGGGTCATTACCACTCTTTATCGCGGTTTTCCTAAAAGAAATGTTTACTACGATTTATCTATACTAAAACATATTCACAATCTTAATTTTCACTTACAGCTGCACTTATATTCATGTCCGCACATGCATTTACATATTGAATGGGTTTTTTTAGATGCACTATTCACAGTTTATTACCTTTATTATTTCAATTTTACTCCTAGTTGTTTGTTATAGTTTTGCTTACAAATAACTTCTAGATTTAGTCCCTCTGGTTGGTTCTGACTGAAAACCAGCGCCTTAGGGAACTTAGGCATATGCTGAGTCAGCGCCCTTTCACTGCTATGACAAAACAGTCATTCTCGGACTAGTGTACCTAATTTCCGTGGCAATTTTTATTATTTAAATATTTAAGTATATTATCATGTAATTTTAAATAATATTTCACGGTACGATAATCCAATATTAAATAATATTGCACGATTAAAAAATGAATACTTAATTAATAAAAATTGCCACCGAAATTAGGTAGTAAACACTAGTTCGGGAATGACCGAAAAATGTTTTATTTTTCCTCTTGTTATTAATCTGTATTTGTGTCATATTAATTATTGAGTAAAGTCATTATCTATCTACAAGTACTCAGAATCATTATTCCCTACCGAAATAAATCAGCTACACAAGAATAAACGATACATAATAACCCGTCACAAAAAGCACGAACACAACACAAACGGATTTCACACACAGCATACACCTATTAGCGGTGAATCGGGGTGCTATTCCGCAAGCTGCATTTTGGCGCAGCGAAATCTCATCAAGGCTTTCATTACGGCACGCCATCACACCAGTGCGGCGATGGTAATTATTTTTCACTCGTTCATTTTATGTTAATCGTTTTGATTAAGCCGCGGTTATATTTTGTTATGCTTTAACAGTTCACGTAATGGAATAGCGGAAAGTTAATTCATCTCGGTTGACGTTTAGAGATATCGTGCTTGTTTTATTCATATTTTAACGCATTTATTGAATGCTTAAATCTACTGGAGTAGTCAATTTGTTTGGTAAACACCCCTCTCAACAGCGCTGTTGAGATGGGTGATGGTCGGTACCCTCCCGCGGGTGTCATAATTTGTTAGTTATAATATAACTCTTTTATACTACTGCCTCGGTGGCCGAACGGTCACCATACTGGGCTGCCACGCTAAGGTCTCGGGCTCGATTCCCGAGCCGGGAGAAATATTTGTATGGCCTACATTTATTTCTCTCGTGAGTATGGCTGTAATTTGTGGTTGTCTATATGTGTCCATGGCACCCACGATACAGGGTTTCCCTAATGCGGGATTATGAATGTGTGCGTGTGCGTTTGTTTGTTGCTGTTAAACACAGGTTGTACACATGTTGACAACAACATAACAAGAATAGTTAAAAAAAACATATGCGATTTAGATCCAAAAAAACAGTGTAAAAATAGCGTAAACCCTTTTTTTGTGATAATTAGTAATGAGACGAACAAGTCATGCACCTGATGGTAAGCGACACGCCTGTCCATAGCAGTTGCAGTTCACCAGTAACCTTACTCTTCAAAATCCAAAAAAATAACGGTTATATTACTGCTTGGCGGCAGAAATTGGTAATCCTTGGACTACTTCTTTCACAAGGAGCTTTACTGCTTTTACAACCTAAGTACTCGATAACTATATATACTTTCATTATATAGTTTTCTATATACGTCATACTTGTTGAAGGCATATAGTTAACAAGCATTAAAAATAATAAACAGAATACAACATATCCATGCATATCGTGGTAACTACTAAGAAATAAATCAAGGTGAGTGATAGCCAGCAGCGTTATTTAATTTATATATCAACGACACATGTTCCTATATACATTGATATTAAATAGTAGTTAAAAAAAATCTTCAAATCACCATAATATGTTGTATGGATTCAGTTTCAGATTAATTTATTACTCAAATATAACATTACAGTATAAATTTCATTACAAGTCAAAGCATAAGAAATTATATTTGAGATCGTCAAACAAAAATGAAAATTATAAGAAAATACACCATAATTGGAAAATTAACAATTCAACAATTAAATAATATTGTTGTCATTAAATTACATATCAAATATCATTCTCCACCAAGGATCGGCATAAGTTGATAACAAATATACAAAAGTATGCCAAGATAAAAATAATAATAAAATAGAAAATACTTAATATCGTTACATTTTTAGGTCCATAAATTCATTTACAGAGTATAAAGGATTTTTCAGGAAAAGGTCTCTCAGCCGGCGCCTAAATGATTCGTCAGATGGTTCAAGTCTGAGACTAGCGGGTAAACGCTCATAAGTAGGTCCGATGACAAGCGGGTTCACAGGCCACGCGGGTTTTTCTCTGCAAGTACCATGCTTCGGGAGACTGTTCTCAAATGACCGGTACAGCGGAGTGGATGCCAGAAACATTTACAGTAGTAAATGAAGAAAGACTATTTCTAACGTACATTATAATTTCGTATATGTAGAGTATATATTTCGTATATATCAATAGTTGTATTATATCAACTATAGATATACTCCATAGATGCCATAAAGTTAAATGAGTGAATAGTAGGTAAGTATTTTATTTCAATAGAAAATGCCAACAGCACCGTGTGTGTATTTCGTGTTGCATGACGCGATAGACAATCACGCGTAATGCGATTATCGCTTAATCAGCGGCTCAGATTAGCACCGCATCGTAATGAGACGTTCGAAAATGCATCACTGTTATTTTAGTAGTTCCAAAGCTTTTTAGCGTTTCGAATCAAAAGTGTAGGTACAGCCCTTAGAATAATAACGCATAGAATGATAGTTTCATATCAAACGAACTGTCACAATTAAGGCAAAAATCAAATTCATGTAGGCTAGTTTTAGTAGTGGGTTAATTTTTGGTTTTAGTGAATATTTATATAGAAATACAAGTTGAAACGCGTTACTTCCTTGTGGAATATGATGTTAGTATCTATTTTATGTTTGTCTGACGTATTTTTACACTCATTTACCGCACATTTCGTCATTTTTAGCTAAAATTCTTGATCTGTTCGCGGTGCAAGTTGACCTTGAGCACTGAATGCCCGCCCGCTCGTGTGGGCCCATTGGGCGCGCTTCAATTTGCCTCACTTAGCGTGTGCGGACTAGGTTTCTATGCGTTATTATTCTAAGGTACAGCCTCCATTTTTCATAGGAGATTTTCACTAGTTAATGTTTTTAAAACTTTTTTATGATACCAAATGATTGTGCGCCTGGTGTAAAGCGATACGCCTATCCATAACAGTTGCAGTGCCACTCAGATTTTAAATCACAAACATCTGATGGGTACTGCGACTGTGTTTGTCACCTTGAGACATAAATTGACAAAATCCATGTGCCTGTCATTTTATAAGCACTGCTTGGCAGCCGTAATAGGTGAGAGGGCAGTACTTTTTTGGATGAACTCTTTCACAAGCTCTATTGCTGCTAATTATTAAATTAAACATAAAAGAAACAACAACAAAAAAAAAAGAAACATAAAACATTAAACATAAAGCTAAAATTATGAACATAAAATGTTAATAATTTTAGCAGTAGAGCTCCTTGTGAAAGAGTTCGTCCAGGGAAGTACTGCCACCTTACCTATTTCTGCCGCCAAGCGGTAATTCCAGCGGTCCAGTTTTGAAGGGTAAGCGTGCTGGTGAAATTACAGGAATATGGAACTTGTCAACTTATATCTCAGGGTGCTGGCCGCAGTGGCAGTGCCCCTCAGATCTTTGCGGGTTAAAGCTCTGAGTGGCACTGCCACTGTCATGAATATTGCTTATCACCAGGCGCACAACTTCTTTGTCCTGTCGTTATCTATCACAAAAAAAAAACAGTTGGTCGACCTGTAAATTAGATTTATTGTGGCAGAATATGGCTAAATCAAAAAGAAAAAGTCTATTCAATATATATAAAACGTATGTGGTTTCAAAGTTTCTTAGTGGTGCTCACTCAAAACTAACATCAAAACGAAAAATTTAACATGCAACACAGTAAAAGATATAATAATCAATCTTACATACAAAAAAACGATCATTGACATTAATAGAAAAAAACAAAATTGTCAAATGCGCTATAGGGCCCTGATTCACAATCCCCAGTAGTTGAGCTTTATTCTTCCTTAGTCCGTATGAGTTGAGAACACAAATGAAATAAATTAACAAACTTAGTCACATAGTAAAATATAACTAAAAGTATCTCTAGTAACTCGTACTTTTGGTATAATAAAGCCACATGTGATAATAAATTGTGAATAAGTGAAATTTCATAATTCTTCTCGTCTTTTTCAAGCATAAAAATAGTTTATTTGTCAAAACAAATATACGCGATTTAAATACGGAAAAACTATTTAATTTCCTATTTGTAACAATCGCGAAAACCCAAGAACTCGATACAAAAAAAGTTATCGACTAATTTCGATCGTAGAATTTTAAAATCTTTCTTCCGAAATATTGTCATTTTGCAGATGTGGCCTTCTTACAACAAGGGTGGGAAATGAATTCCTAACACTTAAAGCAACAATTACGAGAGACCTTGATGATTTTTTTGTCAAATAGCCGTTATAAACATTTTGTCTGATTGCAGACAATGAATTATTAAAATAGAAACTGTGACTCACCTGCGGGTACCGATTAATGGTATTCGGATGCGGGTACGGCTGGTATCCCCGGTAGCCTTGTATATTCCTCATCATGCCGTTGCAACCTGGCAACACAGCTGGAGCCAGCGCCTTCTGTAGTTGCTTTTCTTGCTTGCGGTATTTGGCGCGTCGGTTTTGAAACCACACCTAAGACGAAACGAGAGTCATTTATATTTATTTTCCAAACTATCAACAAATACTATACTACCATCTCTCGACGAATACGACAAAGTTACTTCTAGGAGGTATGCGTATATGTACACCACAAAACAATGAAACTACAATCTAAAAATAAACTGTAATAATAGGCATTGAACGTTCTACGACATGCTAACTGGGTAACGTTTAAAATATATTAACAGTCTAGTGTCGAAGCATGCCGCCGCGATAAACCTATTATATCCGCATTTAGATGTTAAATTTGGGTGATAGAACGGCCATTAAAATAATAATAATGAAATATTAATAAAAAATAATAAAAGTAATAAATTACAGGGAGGTTTATCACACATCCCGTGCGATATACCGCCATGCGATGCATGTTGAATTTGTTACAACTTTTTAAATTAGAAACTACGATCAATCATTATCAATATTTCGTAGTATTTATCATCGTGATTGTGACTTTTGGCGAAACCAGTTCAGATAGTAATCTTCCTGATGTACACTAAATTTAGAGGAACTCTAAAAAAAGGCTGAATTATAATAATAAAATTGATACCAACTGGCCACGTAATATAATGTTTAGTTTGAAAAAAGAATGACTTGAGTAGTATTTTGCTTCCAGTGGTTCATACGGATGTCATTATTATAATAATAATTGAACTTCTTTTTTAGCGTTCATTCTAATATATCCATGAATAGCGTAGCGTTTATGAAATAAGTATATTTTTTAGATCCTGAACTATTTAAAAATCAACTTATAAAGTAGCAAAACGTATAAATTGTAGATAAAATGGTTTTACCCTAATATCGACTATCATGTTTTGACGCAAATAAAACAAAGGAGCGTTGCCCTAATCTGCGTGTTGTCAACGGGAATGAGAGTGTACGCCGTTTGATATGGTGATTAGAGCTGATTAGAGGGAGAGTCCCTCCTCCGGCCCGCCCAGCCCTCCATACGCGCTCGACATATAAATAAACCGATACACCCTGTACCTAACTTTCCAAACCCACCCTATATATAGTCCGTATATAGGGGTGGGGAAACGTAAATGGGATATTAGTTTTTTCGCAAAGCTATCCAACATCCGTCCCTCGCCGCGTTGTAATGAAAAACGAAGCAATTTCCGTACGATTTAAAGAATGATCGATTTACAGCAATTGTGTGGGCGTGTTCGTGATCTAATTCGATCATTTTACGTTTTTGGAAACAAAGAAATAGTTTTTATAAAATACTTATATAATTAAAAAATCATGTCACAAACACGTTGAACCTTTTTTTATTAAAGTAGAATAGCTATCTTCATTACTTTAAATATTTGATAAAATTCACAATCATTTTCATAAAAGTAAATCTTTTTTGTAAGCCTCCACGAACAACAATTTGAAGGCAGATAAAACTTAATTCAGTAAAGATCCCTCTTCAGAAACACTTTGTTCGTTTACAATACAAACGATAGATACTTGTGCCTACCTACTCTCAGTTATATACGAAGAAAACGGTCGCCTTTAAACTGAAAAAGCACGGGGATCCAACAAAACATTTTCTTATTTCCAATTGTAGAATTCATTTGAGGGCAGAGACAATGTCGAGAGGCGCGCGGGGAGGATGAGCGGCTAACTTCGTTACGGATCCATTTGATGGGATTGCAATGCCTCAGGGGCCACCCCGCCCGATCCCCGCCCGCGTCCCGCCAAACCCCGACAGCGCTGTATTTTTATATCGAAATTTCCTGTAGAAGGAGGGAGCTTGCCGACGCTGTCGTCTTTAACGTTTACATTCTTATGTAGCGTCGCGTAAACGTTAATAGCCTCCTACGGAGCGAGCGCGGGCGTGCGCGACATACTGTCTATCTGCTCACATGTACGTACCTATTGTCGACACTTGTTTCATACAAGCTTAACACACATGGCCGCCTACGCGTGCTACGCGCTTTTAACGGTGAGCTACATAAAAGTCTTCGTTCTAATGATATTTCGAGGAACCTTTCATATTCTCGACTTGAACTTCGCCCCTCATTCTCTCTCAAATAAAAGACTAATTTACTGCTTTCACAGTAAATAAAATATCACTTCAAAGCTCATGTGTACAGAAATGTACGTCAAAACAAAATTTCACCTACGGTGATCTGAATGTGAAAGTTGACGAACGATAAAACAAAATATCATGAATAATTATTTAGTTAGAACTTAAAGAGGATGCTAAAAGTCACTTTCTGAATAAAATATCTAAAGCGACAAATTAGGTGCTCGGGGACAAATCAATAATGAGGGTCCCGGGGGATTGAGCAATTTTAAAACTGAGATAAAGATCGCTCGCAAGTTACTGTAAGCATTTCGTATTCATACGGCCGAGGACGACAGATGGCGCTTTAATTCAATCCGCCTCCGGCCTCTGCTCCAAATTGTATTATCCGAGTATTCGCGCATCATTGATATTTCGACAATTCGCGAAGAACGACTGGCTCATATTGTGCCTGGTTGGCACTCTATGTGTCCTGCTCGCACTAATTCTTTTTTCTGTACTCGCTGCGGGTGGTCCGTTTTCCCCGGCATTTCTGTACCTACGTACGTTTCCAGCTGCATACTCGTAGCTATCAATCTATTCAGTGTGCAATCAATTCATTTCAATTGCTCATCCAGTTGAAATTCAGGGTTTCTTGACTCAATTGATCAATAAGGTAACTACCGATATGATATGAAATTAGATGACACGGTCAAATGCACTTGCAGATTCTCTCTCTCCAACCCACAGTATAAATAGCATAGTAATAAAGTGTCAATTCGGTACTATCAATGTTAATATGGGTTTCATTTTTAAAAACCTATCTCAAAAGTAATTCATCCCCTAGTTTGCCACCCTTAGATGTGGAACATTTTTTCGTATTTAAACTACTACTGAGGTATCCTCTTTCCACCATAAAAATATCATCAAAATTAGTAACAAATGCCGCGTTATCGCGTAACGTACATAAAAAAAATACTTGCAGTAGAATTGAGAACCTCCTCCTTTTTTTGAAGTCTGTTAAAAAATACAACTGAATCCAACTAATTTAAAAAAAAAACAATATTATATGTAAAACTAAATACTCGTAGCATCTAATTACCTCTATTTAATACATTTTCACATAGCCGAAAATTAACTTTAGGAATGCTCATATCACCAATTTTTTATAAAAACCACAAAAGTTTGAACACGAATATGCGATAAGATGTATGAAAACAAAATCGTGACGTCATCAGTTGCACTAACCTGTATTCTCGCCTCGTTGAGTTTGGTGGTTCTTGCGAGCTCTTCTCTGCAGTAAATGTCCGGGTAATGTGACTTCGCGAAGGCCGCTTCTAATTCTGCTAATTGTTCCTGTTGGGGAGACAAGAACACAATTGCAAATTTCGAAAACGCATTCGATTTTGAGTTGTCAATGGTAGACATGTTGAGCGCAGACACCGTTTTATTTATTGTGTATGTGGTCAGGGTGTTATAGTTAGCATGATTTTAAAGTTCCAATTTGAGTGAAAACTACCTTAATTCGTGGTTCCGTATCACGCCATAATGTTTTTATTTATTTGATTTGTATCTTATCTATCTATGTATCGACATACAATCAAGAGCAGTCTGCACGTCAAGTTTGATACTTTGTACTTTGGACCGTTCTTACCGTAAGCGGCACAGAGTTTGATATAAATTTTAAGTGTCAAGTTTGACGTGCTCTTGACTTTATACGAAAACTTCACATCTTGATACCTAAAACAACACAATGCACTCAGACCTTTAAATCGCAGAGACCTGAGGGGCACTGCCACTACGCCTTTCACCCTGAGACATAAGTCGCCAACTCCCATGTGCTTGTAATTTCACCAGCACCCTTACCCTTCAAACCGGAACGCAGTAATGGTGGCATATAATATAAGGTGGCAGTATTGCCCTGGACGAATCTTTCTCAAGGAGTTATACTACTAAAATTATTACAATTCATATTTTTGTTATTAAATTAGCAGCTATACCTATTTCTGCCACCAAGCAGTAATGTGAGCATTACTGCATTTCAAACAAAGCAGTTCTTCCCCGGACGAACTCTTTCACAAGGAGCTCTACTGCTGCTAAAATTATTTACCTGTGTGAATGTGGTCCGATGTCGCCGTCTTGCAGGCGTAGGACACGAAGCTGTTGTCGGCGTATGGCCAGCATGCTGTGGACCCAGCGCCGGTGATAGAGCGGACGATCCTCCCGATGCGCCAGAGTTCCCGCCTGGCTCGGGTTTTAATTTTTTGAAGGCTCCTTCCGCTGCGAACAAATGCGTAGTCCAGTGGTCAGACGATATCAAAATCACTGTAGGAAATCAACCCTTAATTGAATGGGGCATACTTAGTTGTATAACCGACTAATATTGTTGGATAAAATGGATAGATTAGAGGTGTCTGTCGTAGCAAACACTTCATTTGAATGTGGCGTACTAATATTGGCAAGTGTTGGCGTGTTTACACTTAGTCGACAAGACACCGTCCCTGGTTCGTTAAGGGAGACAACTTACCTAGTGTAAATTTGTGCGTAAACTTGTATTTAAAATGATTTGGTGCTTTCGACGAAGGCTGCTGCCTTGCAGTCGACTCCGTATAAACAGGGGGTCGACTGCGTCTCCTACGGCCAAGCGAAGTAGTCTGCCGAAGGCGGCAGTCGACTCTATGTAAACACGCTTTGAGAGATAACACACCTCACATGAGAGAAGTGGTTACAGTAGTTACTAATCTGATTAGGTAATTCTGGCAAAGACGTCCGCCGACAAGTTCCGAGTCGCGCAGAGGGGCATGCACAGAGCAATACTCGGAGTTACCCTGCGAGACTGAAAAAGCAACGTTTGGATTCGCAATAGACTAAAGTTAAAGATATTATGGCTGTCATGGCGAAGAAAAGGTGGGCGTTGGTGGGGCACACTGCGAGAATGAACGAAAGGCGCTGGAGGAGACGAGTACTTCAGTGGAGACCCAGAGCGAACATCAGAGGTCGCGGCAGACCACCGCAGCGCTGGATGGACGACATTCGACGACACGGAAGTCAGGACTGGATGAGTCGGGCACAAGATCGCTAAGAATGGAAGAAGAGGGAAGAGGCCTACATCCAAGATTGAATAAGGTGAAATTACAGGCACGTGGGGCTTGTCAACTTATGTCTCAGTGTGACGGGCGCAGTGGCAGTGCCCCTCAGATCTTCTGAGTGGAACTGCAACTTTTATGGACAGGCGTGTAGCTTACCATCAGGCGCACGACTTGTTCATCCCGTCACTTGATATTATAAAAAAAAAATGAAAACCACTGCCATGATGATGATGATGAATTCCGGCAAATGGCTTAGTTGATAAAGTCGTTTTGTATCTTATGGCATCATAGTCTTCTAGCCAAAACTTCATAAACGCTTACAATTGCGTTGGTGGTTATAAAAGCTCGTTTCGTGTTTATAAAAGCGTTTCTACAAAACTACTATATAAGATCATGCTGTCAGACGTGTCTTTCACCTCCGATTCGTTCCACTCTCTCGGTTGAAAGAACGTTGGGCGTTCTTATTTGCATAGCGGACGGTGCGTATCGATCCTTTGCCGTAGGTCAAGATCGCGGCTCGCTCGTAATTGTAATTGCGTTGCTTCAACAGCGTTACAGACCCGCTCAGGCGTTTGGTGTATTGGTTAGTGGGATTTTTGGGTTTATATTTGGTAATTTGTACATAAGATTCTTATACCTATTTACGTCTTAGTCATTGTCATTAAAAAGCGGAGCGCGCGCGCATATTATGAGAACGAACAGAGCATGTAGCGTGCTTTATGCGCTGATCATCATCAGTCAGTCGAAAGATGTCCACTGCTACAAAGACCGATCTTGAGCTGCTCGTATTGATCGGATTCCCTTAATCGGTCCATTATAGTACCAGTTGTCATTCGAGAATTCTCTTTTGGTTCCATCGATCTTTGCTTTACGAGAAATGCGCTCCGCCTACCGTCACTTCAGTTTATCAATATTTTAAGTTAAGTCGTTTACTCTGGTTCTTGTGGGGGTACCTCCCCGGTCGGGCAACATTGTACCCTGGGCCTGCTGAAGGGGGAAGGAGAAGATTGTAACATCTTCGCCGACCCCCCAACCTTCTGCGCCAGATTTGGTCCGCATTGACGACTTCCTCTCTTGCTCTTTCTGCGGTCTCCTTTTGGGGTAAGCTAAACTACAACTTAATTTCGCAGAGAAATTCTAAGCTTAGCCTTCTCCATTACCCTTTGGGCGAACCTTCTTATGAGGCCTCCGTGCCATAAGTCATCAGTGACAACATAAACCGGTCTAAGACTTTTAGCTTTTTGACACTGCGGTATTTTGGACGAGAAGATATGGCGCAGCTTATAATACAACTTTTGACCTGTTAAACTAAAATAATGTACATTAATGTACACACAACTTATGGAATTTTGAGCATTCGCTCTGCTTAATGTTTGGGGTAAGGTTTTATGGAATTATCCCGCTACTTTAAGATACTACTCAAAATTTCTGACTACGTATAACTTTGGAGATCTTCAATTATTCCACTTTCTAACTTGTTCTGTGTTCGTAATAGTTGTCCAAAGTGAGACGATGAATCGCGCAAAAATTAAGAGCAGCATTTTGCAAATTCAGTTTGGTAAATGTGCAATTAATATCGCAACTTACAAAGAGTTTAGTACTTAGGTTGAAATCGAGGAAAGTGTTCAATTTGACTCTCATTTCACTAATATTCAAAACCCAGCGCGCGTATAATTTATTCCCACATGTCCCATCTGAGTTCAAATGGTCCAAACGTAAATTCGTTTCCCTGAAAAATCCGCATATTGGCAACATAATCAGTTTACCTTCGGTTTCTCTGAGCTTTTGAATTAAGAGGGGAGATTTTAAAAGCGCCGTTAGAGGTCGGTTCGGCAAGTATTCATGCATTCCCTTTGACGGTACTCCAGCTACTTACTAATTAACGTAGAGCTAAGTGTTTGCGTCCGCGGTAAACGGTGCCTTTTAACGTTTAAAAGGTTTCTTTTTTACTTGCTTTCTATGTTTTTCGAGGGGTTTGATGGCGAATACATTGGTTTCATTTTTACCTGACATTTTTCTGAGATAAAATTACTGATAGAGACATTTTTGAAAATAGGCCCTGAAAGCGTTTTTATGTGGCTTAATTGAACTTTAAACGGGAGAGGTTAAATACGTAGGGAATCATAATCAACAATATAACGATATAACCATTGACTAAGGAAATTGATTCAGGAATCACCAAATACACTTCAAGTGTAATAATTATAGTAAAATTAAAGTTTCACAAATATTCGAGTTTTACGGAAACAAACAACAATACAATTATTGTAAATAATTGCATTAATCTAGTAAAACGTCACTTTAAACATTATATTAAAATTAGTTTGCCATGACTGTCTCACGTAAACTTTTAATTGTAGGCAATTGAAGAGCTAGGAAATGATAATATCAAACAATACATTAGAATGTAATAAAATGAATAATAACAAATTTGCTGTGATAGCCTATTGATTTGACCTAACGCCTTACAAACAGATACTTTGGGCTCAAATCCGGACTCGCACCTCTGAATTTTCCGAAATGGATGTGCGAAATTTAATTTCAAATTTACCACGAGCTTTTGGGTGAAGGAAATCATCTGACGAGTGCACGGCAAAGAAAGTGCACAACACTCCAAAAACGCGAGAAGTCCACAACCCGCATCGGGCCAGCTTAGCGGACAATGGCTTAAACCCTCGGATGAGAGAGACCCGTGCCCAGCAGTGGGACGTATAAATAGGTTGCTGATGATGATGATGATGTTGATAAACAATAACATAAATAAAAAAAACTAACAATGTGAACGTTGATTTCTATAAAATTCTGATAACTTCGAAGTTTGGGCGTTACATAGTCGTACTATACCTACAAATGCAACAACAATTTATTTACTATCTCGCTAGTATGTATCATACTTAGCGTAACGCAACAAAACTGTTAAGTCAATGAGTAGTATTTATCCCTCGCAGCATTTGTTCGGGGCGTGACGGAGATTCAATGTAACATGTCATTAGGGGCTTGAGCTCTGTGAGCCCTGTGAGCCCTAATTACGACGATTGACATGAAAGCGCCATCTGTGGCGGCGTGAGGTGTCGGGTGACGACGGCTACATTGTCACAACACCCCTTGTATTTTGAGGTAAATTGATTCTTAGTATAAATATAAGATTTAAGTTTATAATTTTGATCTAGACTGTACCTGCCATAAATGTTAATAATAAACACAGGAAATAATTGTCACTTTGTTTATGTTACAACATGGTATTCTAAAAGCGTATATAATTAAGAAGATAATGAGTTAATGAATGAATGATGCTTGAGTGTTTTTTTAGAACGGTGCAGTTGCTAATCGTCTGCCTTTACACACGTTCGCGATTTTAAGCAGCGATGCAAACGCGCGACTGCATCGATACTAACGCGCGATTGTATCAAAGTAGCCGCGCGTTTGTTTCGATGCAATCGCACATTTGTATCGATGCAGCCGCGTGTTTGCATCCGCCTATAAATCGCAAGTGTAGCGATCCAATCGCGAGTTTGCATCGCTGCCAAAAGTCGCTGTGTGTAATCACTCTTAGATATGAATCATGTATTTTGTCTCTTTGCAGGTTTCAGTCAGCCGTGACGATGGGACCTGTAATGAGGTCGAACCGTTGCTTTGTTTGAAAAAACGAATATGCGCGTTTTACATTCGAAAGAATAGCTTCCTTTCCTATGTGTAGCAATCGCGAAAACTTAGGAACTCGTTATTTAAGATTTAAATTCAACACTATGCCCGTTGCGATAAGAACGGTTAAAAGTTCAGAGTGTGAAGCATAAACGACTTAATTATCTTATTCTGATATTATTTTACTACATTAATATTTCACGGATTCCTATAATCAACAAATACTTGAAAAATCATTATTCTAAATAAGTGCTGCGTTTGCGGCTTCGATTTAATTAATAGCTTTAGTACCTAAGGAGGTTTCGGCGGAAATATTGACGGTACCGCCAATACTACATTGAGCCGGCCGGGGATAGAACCCGGGACCTCAGAGATGGCGACACCATGAAAACCGGTGTGCAAGTCACTCGATCACGGAGGTCGTATCTTCCTGTTTAAGAACGGACAAATATTTTAAAAGATATATAATGACTATGACTGTTATTTTCTATGTCCGACGACAATAAGCACATTATTTTGAAATAATTTTTTTTTTTGATAATATCAAGT